CACGGCCATCTCGCACACGCACTCCAAGGAAGAGCTTGCGCGTAACCTCGGTGCCACTGATTTCATCGCTACCGGTGACAAGGACCCCTATACGCCCCACAGGCGCTCGCTTGATCTGCTCGTCCTGACCAACAACAACGCTGACATGCCGATCAGCGACTACATCACCCTTATTCGTCCACATGGCAAGATTGTCGCCGTTGGCATGCCGGAGAAGCCTTGCATGCCGACCCCTCTTCCTGCACTGGCTTCCAACGGGGTCTTTCTCGGCGGTTCAATGATTGGCAGCCCGAGCATGATCAAGGAGATGCTCGAGCTAGCCGACAAGCAGAATTTGAAGCCCCTGATCGAGGAGAGGGACATGAAGGATGCCAACCAAGTCGTTGCCGACATGGAAGCTGGCAAGCCCAGATTCCGCTACGTCATGGTTAACAAGGACTACCAGCCGATCAAGACATAATCTCTCGGAACCTCGTGTAGTCATCTTCTTGGTCGATCGAAGCCCACGATCTGGACCTTGAACTGGGCCCTATTTTGCAGTAATATCACCATTGCTGCTGCCAGATGAATCGCATGACAACAGACCAAAGAGAAGGGAGCCGCAATCAGAACGGGAACGAGACTGGAAATGGAAAGGGTCAGCTCGCACTGGGTGAAGCGAAGCTTGAATGTGTGTCAGACTCTTGTATCAGGGTGTGAATCATGCAATGCAGATCGCGGAGCAGTTGAAGCCATGGCTCTTGGCAGCTGGAAGCCTGAGCTATGCTGCTGCTGTCGGGTGCTTGTCCTTCCGCTACCGAGCTGGGGGCACAAATGACGGACGACATGGCGCCTGCTCCTGGCTTGAGGCCGGTGCACGGCTCAAGCAATGCTTGGCAGACGCAGCACCGAAGGGCTGGTGAGGACGTTTGTTCAGACAAGGCAGTGCTCCAGAGTGAGAACCTACAGAGCAGAGATGTCCGAGAAATGCAAGCAAGAAGGCCTGACTTTACGTGAACTCCTCCCCCTCCCAAGCGTTCTGCGCGACGCTGCATCCCTATCCGACCGTAATGCCCCGTGACTAGAGACATTGTTCGTGAGATCGGCCGCGGCTTTCAACCTCACTCGTCCGGTCGTCGCCAGCCCATGATTGAATGCATGCGACCCATGCCGCCACGGCGGTTCGGGCGACCAATGGCTTCCACCTTTCTGGCTCGTGCAAACCAGCTTTCTGATCCGATGCTAACGGCCACTTTCTGCGCTGCGCCTTCAACAGACAGAGGGCGCAGGCGTGTCGTCCTCTCGCTTGCGACCGAACTCGCTTCAAGCCTCCCTCGCAGCTGTCTCTCGCAATCCTCCGTCGCTAAGTCGATATCCCGACAAGAATGGCGCGTTTAAGGCCCGGGTCTCCGCTGGTCTTGTCCGAGTTGAATTCCGAACAGAGCCCAGGTTTCGCATCGGTCGGACCAGCCACCTTCACATCGCCAAGACCAGGCAACATTCCGGGGGAAGTGCGTAGCCCAGCAAGAGAGGGTATGCTCCGCTTTCTTCCTCTCATGGGATACAATAAAGTCCATATAAACATTCGAGCCTGTTGTCGCAACCCGCTCCTTTTCCACATCTCCTCCGCCCTTTCTTTCACCCCTGCGTCATTCGTAGCAACCTCACGCCCTTACCTCGTTCCGAGCGCCTCACCCAAAATGGCGGCTCTTTCGGCACCCCTGAAGCTTATGTCAGCCTTCGCTATGACCACCGGACTCATGGATCTCGTTACAGGCGTCGGCTCTTTGGAATTGATCACAGGTGTCTCTCTACCAGCCGACAACCGCGCTGCTGTCTTCGTCGACAGTCAGTTACGATTTCTCGGAGGAATATGGGCCGGCTATGGAGCCATGTTGTGGTGGGCGAGCAACAATGTGCGTGAACGACGCGTGCCATTGACAATGATGGGTTGTACGATGGTGCTCTCTGGGCTCGGCAGGTCAATCTCCGGAATCGTACATGGATTCAGTTCGAACTTGATTGTCGCGTTCGCGGCCATCGAGTTGCTGCTGCCGCCAGCTTTTTGGATTTTGGGTTGAGGGATGCGGCGCACCCTCTCAGATCTGAAGCACGATCATTGAATCTAAGTTCTTTGACGAGGAATACGAAGACGAAGCACTTCTATCTTCCTGTCTGTGGTCCGGTGCGTTCACATGTCACCTTATCTGTCCCAAGCTTTTGGAGAATGGGTGCTGAGAAGCTGCATGCCTGTGCCAAGCATGATTGCTCGGAAGCTGCAAAGATCCGAGTGGTATGTAGCTAAAAGATGCGAACACTGGCAAAGAACACAAAAGATGCGAATACTGGCAAAAGACACCCAGACCGGAGAGACGTGCAGGCGGGCCAAGCTGGCGCGCCTACCTGGACTTCGGCGGCAGCGGTTCTGATGAACACGATGATCGCCGCCTCTGACTAGCGCTATCAAGCTTTCTCGCTTGTACTACAGTCCCAGCTCTTGTTGAAATCTTCTGGGTTGCCAACCCAGACTCTGGGAAACACATACCGACCTGTGAGACCCTTCACTTTCAGATTCTGCCGCATCTCCGAGAAAATCCCATACTATCTTCTTCATAATGGCGAATCGAAGGTCCGCTTGCCTCGCTCGCGCCCGCAAAAAGCGGGTCGGGGAGAACGGGCAGTGCGCGACATTTGGCCAGGAAGCAGGCCCTTGTTTGGGTCGGGCGACTGCACGTGACATTGAGCCAGCCACAAGCAGACTTTGGCAGGGCGGAGGAGTTTGCTTCGTGTGTT